CCCATTACAACAACCATGTTGTTTTTACATCTTTTCATGGTCTGCTTACATATCTGTTTCTCTATCTCCCATTGGCTATTGAGAGGTTGATAGTGATTGCACATTTCTTATTCTTGAGTTCCACCCATCTGTCCTCACTGGATTAGCCCTCCAAATAGATAGGTTTTGAATGGTAACCACAACTGTAATATAGAAAACATAAGTTAATTTGTACAACAGCAAACTCCTTCCTATAGTGTGCTAATCATCTGCGAATCTGTTTTAGTAATATTGGTTGAGGGATAAAACACATGGGCAACTACCCTAATCATCTTTGAATATTGCTGTTGTATGTTGTGTGAGGTCAGAAATCACACGACTCCAGGTTACAGTCCAACAGGTTTGTTTGAAGACAGAAGCTTTCGGAGTCTCATTCCTTCTTCAGCTGTTAGCGTCAGCGAGGCTCCAAAAGCTGGTGTTTTCAAATAAACCTGTTGGACTATAACCTGGTGTCATGTGATCTCTGACCTTGTCCACCCCAGTCCAACGCCAGCACCGCCACATCATGTATGCTGTATGATCACTCAAAGGATTAATAGGGCTTCTGTTTGGCATCTAGATAGGAAGTCGTCAAAGACACAGATCTTTCAGCTGATCAGCATGGCTTTGTGCATGGGAGATCATGCCTCAAATTTGTTAGAGTTCTTTGATGAAGTGACCAGGAAGGTTGATGAGGGTAGTAGATGTAGTCTACATGGATTTTAGTAAGGCCTTTGATAAGATTCCACATGGTAGGCTCCACAAGGTTGGATCACATGAAATCCAAATTGGATACGCAGTTGGCTTGATGGTAGGAAGCAGAGAAGATGCTTGTCTGACTGGAGGCCTGTGACTAGTGGTGTTCCTCAGGGGTTGGTGCTGGACCCATTGCTGTTTGTTATCTATATCAATGATTTAGATGAGAATGTACAAGGCATGACTAGTAAGTTTGTGGATGGCACTAAAATAGGTGGTATCGTGGACAGTGAGGAAAATTACCAGAAATTGCAGTAATAAGCTGGGGAAGTGGGCTGAGAAATGGCAATGGAGTTTAATATAGATAAGTGTGAGGTGGTCTATTTTGGAAAGTCAAATCAAAGTCGGAGTTTCATGGTGAATGGTAGGGCCTTAGGGAGTGTAGTGAAACAGAGAGACCTTGGGAGTGCAGGTGCACAGTTCTCTGAAAGTGGAGTCACAGGTAGGTAAGGCAAAGAAGGCGGCATTTGGCACACTGGCCTTCATCAGTCAGGACAGCGAGTACAGAAGTTGGGAAGTTATGTTGCACTTGTACAGTCTGTTGGTGAGGCCATACTTGGAGTACTATGTTCAGTTTTGGTCACCTTGCTATAGGAAGGATGTTATTAAACTGGAAAGAGTGCAGAATTTTAAAAGGATGTTGCTAGAACTCAAGGGACTGAGTTATAAGGAGAAGTTGGACAAGCTAGGACTTTTTTTCTTTAGAGCATAGGAAACTGAGAGGGGATCTTACAGAAATGTATAAGATCATGAGAAGCGTGGATAGGGTGAATGCACTCAGTCTTATTTCCCAGGGTTGGGGAATCAAGGACTAGAGGGCATCAGTTTAAGGTAAGAGGGGAAAGAATAAATGAGGGGCAAATATTTTACACAGAGGATGGTACACATATGGAATGAGCTGCCAGCGGAAGTGGTTGAGGCAGGTACATTAACAACATTTAAAAGGCATTTGTACAAATAAATGAGTAGGAAAGGTTTGGAAGGATATGGGCCAAGTGCAGGGAAATGGAGTTAGTGTGGATGGATATTTTAGTCAGCATGAACTTGTTTGAGCTGAAGGGCCTGTAGGACTCTATGACTCTATGATCAGTTCATGCTCATGTTTTTATCACAGAACTGGTGCAGAAAGCGTCATTTGGTGCTATGTCTGCACTGGCTCTCTCATCATTTTGTCCAAATGCCAAACATCTTTTTGCCTTTTCTGCATACGCCTATCATTGATTCTACAAATCATCATCCAGTGCCCACTTGAATCCCTCAATTGAAACTGCCTCCATGACAATTCCAGGTAGTGCAATCCAGAACCTAAATACTTACTGTATCCACAAGATAGTTTTGCAAAAGAAACTATCCCCTCTGGTTCTTCTGCCTTTACAACAGGAATAGTTTTCCCCTATTTACTTTGTCCTGACCCTTCCTGATTTTGAAAACTTCTGTCAGATTTCCCCAAAGCCTTCTCCTCTTCAAGGAAACAGTTCCTTCTCCAGTGTATTCTCATAACTGAACTACCCAATCCCTGGACTCCATCCTTGCAAAGCTTTTTCTACATTCTCTCCAATGCATTCTTATATTCCCAAAATGTGGTATCTAGAACTGCACACAATACTCTGAGATTTAACAAGTATTCTATACAAATTCATTAAAACCTCCCAACTCTTATACACTATGCCCCTATTAATGAAGCCTAGGATACTGAACTGTTTATTAACAGTTCTTTCTACATTTGCTGTCCTACCTTACTGACATATTTACCATATGCACCCACATCTCTCTGCTCGTGCATACCCTTCACATTTTAATATTTTCCACATTATTTGTACTAAAATGTGTTTCATCTGACAGAATGGCATAATAGTCGACACAGATATGGTGGGGTGAAGGGCCTGTTTCTGTGCTGTATTGTTCTATGTTCTATGCTCACATTTCTCTACAATGAACCTCATCTTCTACCTATCTGCCCACTAATGTTTGGAAGTTTAACACAGTCCTTATCACAGTTTACAGTTTTCTCATTTTGGGACAAAATTTTGTATCATCCACGGACTTTGAAATTATCCCCTGCACATCAAGGTGTAAAGCATTTTTAATTTCATGGAACTAATACCAACCCCTGAGGAATTTCACTACAAACATTGCTCCAGCTCAAACAAATCCATTAATTCTCTACTTCCTAACAGTCAACCAATGTTGCACCCACGTTACGATAGTGTCTTACAAGTCCTGGGTTCAATTCTACTTTCGAGTGACTGTGTGGAGTTTGCACATTCTCCCTGTATCTATGAGGGTTTGCTCTGGTTTCCTCCCAAAGTCCAAAAATGTGTTCAGTTTCAACATTTAAAACAGGGCAGCATGGTGGCTCAGTGATTAGCGCTGCTGCCTCACAGCACCGGGGATCTGGTTCAATTCCACCCTCGGGCAACTGTCTGTGTGGAGTTTGCACGTTCTCCCCATGTCTGCGTGGGTTTCCTCCAGGTGCTCCATTTCCTCCCACAGTCCAAAGATGTGCAGGCTAGGTGGATTGGCCATGCTAAATTGCCCGTAGTGTCCGGGGATATTTAGGTCAGACATGGGGAAATGCAGGGGTAGGGGAATGAGTCAGGTTGGGATGCTCTTCATAGGGGTGGTGTGGACTTGTTGGGCCGAATGGCCTGATCCACACTGTAGGGATTCTGTGATTGAAGTCTGTTGTGTGGCATTTATTGGACATCTTTTGGAAGCCCATGTTCACCACAGCAACAGTATCACCTCATATACACCCATCTCTGTTAGCACTTCAAAAATCTCAGCAACTTAGTTCGATATGATTTGCCCTTAGAAAATGTTATAATGCTCATTTCTGCCATACTCCCTTCTTATATACCACTAAATGCATTAGGTTCATTTAACACTTGTATAAATTGTGCCCAAAATTACACAAATTTTTAAAAATCATAGAATCACATAGCATAGAACAGGCCCTTCAACCCATCTATGTCAATGCTGACCAACAAATACCTATTTACCCGCATTTGGTCCAAAGCCTGCTATGCCCTGCCATTTTAATTGCTCACCCCATTGCTTCTTAAATGTTACGAGAGTACCTGCCTGCACCAATCTCTCTGATAGGGCATTCCATGTTTCCACCACCCTCTGGGTGGAAAAACATTTCCTCGGATCTCCTCTAAGCCACTTACTCCTCACCTTAAAAACTTATGTCTTCTGCCTTCCATTGGGAAAAGATACTCACAATCTACCCCTATCTACGTCTCTCATAATTTTGTACATTTTGTGTTTTCTCCCACCTCAGATTTGTTCTAATTCAATTGTAAACTGTACACATAATACTGGAGAATTTGCTCTGAATCAGCACAATGGGGCAATATTTCGAATCACATTTTGTTTCACAAAGTAATTCCTGGTATTCCGATGAGGTATCTTGAAACTGTTGCAGTCTTATTAACAATGCCTAAAAATGACCTGATCACAAAAATCAATACTTTTGATCACTATATTGTCAGTCCCCTGAATTCATGTAACTGACTTTAAAAAATAAGAAATTCATTTGTAATTTCTACTGGAAATTTTATAGGAGTTAGCTTCTTGGTAAATTAGGAATTAAAAATAATCTTTCAAAAAGGTGTCAAGAGCAAAAACAGAAGTTGCTCGAAAAGCTCAGCAGGTCTGGCAGCATCTGTGAAGAAAAAAATCACGAGTTAACGTTTCAGGTCTGGTGACCCTTCCTCAGAACTTCAAGCAGGAAGAGTCACCGGTCCCGAAACGTTGAACTCTGATTTTTTTCTTCACAGATGCTGCCAGACCTGCTGAGTTTTTCCAGCAACTTTTGTGTTTTTGTTCCCGATTTACAGCATCCGCAGTTCTTTCGGTTTAAAAAGGTGTCAATCAGTTTCAATACCATTAAAAACGCGATTGCCACAAACATCACGGGAATTTAACCCAGAGAGACAGCCTTGGAAAAGGAACTGGCTCCCAGTACAGCGTTTTGCTGAAACTGATGCAAAAATAAACATTGCAGAAACTCAATTTGCGCTGGAGGTAATCGAGGCGTCAAATCTTGCAAATTTCGGGCGAATTGCGCCTTGCACAAACACGACTGCAATCGTTTTTGTTAAAACTTATCGGGTCATTTGCTCACGCATTCGCATGAAAAGAGATAGCTCTGCTGAAATGTTTCCCAGGAATAAACAGGCTGTGACAGCGAGTGAGAGAATGTATCTCCTGATCCTCACCTTGATGCTCCTGAAATTACAACTGCGAGTTTTCCAGCTCGGTTTGACTGTGTTCATCTCCTCCATCCCTCCTGGAAAAGTGACACGAAGGGCTCCCACTGTCCGCTGAGCTTCACCAACGATTGGCAAGTGGTTTCCCACCAGGCGCCTCGAAAAGCATTTCGCTCTTTCCTTCTCTCTCCTCTGCGTCGGGAACAGTCAAGCTCTGGAATTTATATCTCGTCCACCCTGTGATGAAATAGAGCACGTCATATTCAAAAGCAGTAGTTATTTTCACGTGTCACCTCCCAATGGCATGAAATCGGCAGAATACCAGACTGAACCCATTGATTCATTCTGCGTTAAACTGGTTGAATTTTTTGATGAAAGAGAGGAGTCGATGTAGACAGTGGAGTTGCTGTCAAGGTGTGAGCTTCCAAAAGATGTTTGACAATGTGCTTTCCAGCAAAGTTAAAATTCATGGGAGGAATACAAAGATATTTGAGAGACAAGAAACAGAAAATACTGTTCGCTTCTCAGAGCTGCAGAACCATTTAGGGCAAAGGTTTGCCAGAAGCTGCAGCTAACCTAAACGGCCATCCCAAAGTCTCCAACAGGCAGATAAACATTAAGAGCGGTTAAAGGAGACGTAGGGCTGATGAGAAACCAAAAAGGGATTTACACATGGAAGCAGGGGACCTGACTGAAGTGTTAAGTAAATACTTTGCATTTGCCTTTACAAAAAGAGGAGGATGTTGCACAGACCATGGTGACAAAGAGGAAATTCTAGAAGATTTCATTATTGATAAGGAAGAAGCCTGGAATAGACTGTTAATACTTGACAAGACACTGGGATGAGATAAGAAGCATTCAAATAAAAACCGAAAGAACTGTGGATGCTGTAAATTAGGAACAAAAACAAAGTTGCTGGACAAGCTCAGCAGGTCTGGCAGTATCTGTGAATGAAAAACAAGAGTTAACATTTTGGGTCCAGTAAACTCAGAATTCAGCATTCAAATCCTTGAAAGAAGAATGAATAGACATTGTGGAGGTACTGGCCATAATTTTGTCAGTCCTCTCTGGATGTACTAAAAGACTGGAAAGTTGCTAACTTAATGGCCTTGTTCAAAAAAAAAGGCTGTAATGATAATCCCAGCAATTACAGACCCAGTTAGTTTAACTTTAGTATTGGAACTTTTTCAGTAAAGATATTTGGGCTAGAATAAGTAGTCACATGAAAAAGCTATATTGGTCAGGAAGTCAGCATGGATTTCTGAGGGGGGATTGTGTTTAACTAACTTGGAGTTTTATGAAGAGGTAAAGGAAAAGTTTTGTGAGGGTATTGCTTACGATGTGGTATACATGAATTTCCAGAAGACATTTGTTTCAGTCCCTCACAACAGATTTATGAGGAAAATTATAAGTCATGGTATATAAAGGTCAGTTGCAATGTGGATACAAAATTGACTGAGTAATGAGAAACAGAGGAGTGGTCAATGGATATTTTCTGGGCTGGAGGAAGGTTTGTATTGGGAGTTCCCAGGGGTTTGTATTGGGACCATTGCTTTTCCTAATGTATATTAAACATCAGGTTCTTGGTGTGCAGGGGCACAATTTGGAGATGATACTAAACTTGGAAGAACTGGTAACCTTGAGGAAGGACGTTGGCAAGTTTGTTGGAGAGAGTAGGTAAGTGGCAGATGAGGTTCAATGCAGAGACGTATCACTTTGATCAGAAGGACATTGAAAGACAATGATAAAGTGGGTACAGGAGCAGAGGGACCTGGGTGTATATGTGCACAGACTATTAAAGGTGGCAGGACAGGTGGAGAGAGCAGTTAATAAGCATACAGTATGCTCAACTTTAATAATAGGGAAACAGAGTACAAGAGCAGGGAAGTGATATTGAACTTGTACAAGTTGTTAGACTTCAGCTGGAGCATTGTGTACAGTTCTGGGTGCTACATTATAGGGAGGATGTGAATGCATTGGAGGGAATGCAGAAGTGGTTTACAGGAATGGTTCCAGGGATGAGAAACTTCAGTTTATGAGGATAATTTGAAGAAGTTAGGACTGTTCTCCTTGAACAGAAGAAGGCTAAGAGGAGATCTGATAAAGGTTTACAAAATCACGAGTAGGCAGAACAGAGCAGATAAGGTGAGACTGTCTCCATTTGAAAAAGGATCAAGAATGAAAGGATATAGATTTAAAGTGATGTGCAAATGAAGCAAGAATGAGGTGAGGAAATGTTTTTTTCACACAGCCAGTAGTTAGAGTATAGAATGCACTGCCTGGAAATATGGTGGATGCAGGTTCAAATGAGGCATTCAAGAAGGGATTGGATTTTTTTTGAATAGTAGTAGTGTGCTGGGATATAGGGTAAAGACAAGAGATTGTTACTACATAATAGAGCCAGACTATATAATAGAGCCAGTGCAAGCATGATGGGCCAAAAAGCCTCCTCTAAACCATAATAATTATGGTTTTGTGATTGTATGTATGCTTATGTGGCGGAGGGGGGAAATTGAAGCATCACTGACCATCATGGAGCTCCAACCAAGTTCTAACAATGGTGCTCCCCACCTTAATGGCCCCTCTTGTCTTGCTTCACCCCTCTCTCATCTCTCACCTCCTCCATACACTCCTCTCTCAGTTCTCATTGCAGGACAGAACAGTTTTCAAGTTTCAAAATGGGGTCACAGAGGTACAAATTTGGGAAACAGAAGAAGCAATGGGGTCCAAACATTGCTCTTTTCATGAAATGAGAGTGCTGGAGAAACTCACCAAACCTGGTAGAAGCTGTGAGTTAACTTTCCAAGTTCAGAAAAATCATATTCCCTTGTTCAACTATTTGTTTTTAATTCAAATGTTTTATATGAATTTATTTCCTTCCTGAAATAATCTTCTAATTTTCCGATGATCATAGAAGATAATTGCATCAAATGCAAGCAGTGGGTCAAAAAAATGCTTCACTGCTGGGAGAGGCACAATAATTATTTGGCAATACCATTTGCAGGTGGGACCTCAACAGTTGAATATTTCATCCCGGGCAGATGAATAATTCATTTGCAAATGGTTGAGACTGAAATTCAAACACCCAATAGTAATGTCTTTCATAAAGGTCAGTGCTGATTGCACCATTCACCTTTCCAGAATTCCAGTGAAATAGCTTTGAATATAAACATGGTAATACCCCATCTCTGTAACCCACGATACTTCAAAACACAAAAGGTGGATGCAAACACATTCCTGAAGTTGAACCATAGTACACTGTCTGTCAACAATGGCTCTGTGACCTGTCTCGCTGGAGGGACCTAATTTGAGGAATGCTGATCTAGCAGTGGACTCTTGTCTGTTGTAAGCTAAATTCTACTGTTCAGGTTTTCTCATCACACCTGGAAATGTCTTTTAGCTGGTGGACTTTGGGCCAGTCATTCCCATGACGTTGCATGGACTATGTTGCCTGATCTTGAGCTCTGATGAGCCAGTAGGAGTCACTGTTTCATATGGTCTCATTTCAATTGCACAATGGGATAAAGACTGTAGAAAAGGAAGTTTTGAAAGTTTTTGATGTGGTATTTGTAAATGTCTTAATAGTCATTGTAGTTCAATGAGTTTGTTAACGGCCTAATAAATCAGAAATTGTTGGCCTGATGCCAACAAGGTAATTTGCGAATTTAACTTCATAGTCATAGAGATATAAGGAACAGAAAATGACCCTTCAGCCCATCATATCCATGCCAGTCTATACAACCACTTAACTATTCTAACCCTACATTCCAGCACTTGGCCCATAGCCTTGGCATCATAAGTGCAAACCTAAATGCTTCTTAAATGCTTCAGTTTAAATCATTATTAGGAGGCATTATGGGACAGACAGTCCAGCCACTGAATAAAGCATGCCTTCCTTGAGAGGAGACCTAGAACATGAAAATCTTGGTGACAAGGGAAAAAGCAGTTAAAAATAAGACAGAAGGAACAAAACATCATTGGTAAACTACAGGTCAACCAGTCTACTGTACATTACTAGCAAGTTTTGTCAAATGCAAAATTAATTCTCCCTTGGAGAAGCATGGGCAACAAGGAACCAAAGATTTTGTTAAAGGCAAGTTGAAACAAATTGAGTTATTAATGAAGGTTGTGATGAACAAACTTGAGGAGGTGTAGTGATTGTAATGCGGGCAGCCAGTTGGCCATCATAGAAAATTAGTTCCCCGATTAGGACTGTTCATCTGGTCTGATCAGGGAGCCCTGGCTGACATATTAAAAAAGAGTGAGTGTCAGAGATATTGACACTCTTGTATCTGACCCTGAATGAGGCTGTACTATAGGAATAGAGGGATATGGATCAAGGGCAAGCAAAAGGGATCAGTTTAATTTGGTGTCATGTTCAGTATAATATCATGGGCTGAAGGGCCTGTTCCTGTGCTGTACTCTTCTATGTTCTATAGTTAAGGAGTGGTCATGTGTAAATAACGAGTGAATTGGCAATGGGATACTGGTGTCTGTGGAGTTATTTTAGTGGTGAAGAGAGTAAAGCATGATCCTGAAGAAACTTGCCTGCAACAGTCATCTTTGAGTTGGATAAGCATTTCTTACTTCATGCCTTTATCAGGCAAGCTTGACTTGTTCAAAACTGCCATCAAGAACTGAGCCCAATAGATGGAAGGAATGTGGGATAACCAAGTGTGGAGCTGGAGGAATACAGCAGGCCAGGCAGCATCACAGGAACAGGAAAGCTCACATTTTGGGTTGGGGCCCTTCTTCAGAAATGCTGTTCCTGTTCCTCAGATGCTGCCTGGCCTGCTGTGTTCCTCCAGCTCCACACTGTGTTATCTCTCCAGCATCTGCAGTTTGTGCTATCTCAGATGGAAGGAATGTGTTTTTTTTTCCTGGGCCCAGGACATTGTGGCAAATGAAAATCACAGTAATTCTCCTGACTGTCTACAGCTGCAGCTTTTTCTGTCTTTAGGAGCCCAGCTTTTCCTGAGGCACCAGATCTAAAACCTTACAAGAATTGACTGACATAGTTAAGGAATGTTATGATCCCAAGCCCTTGGAATTTTTGACTAAGTTAAGACAACTGGCAGAAGACTATGAATTTGGTTTAACCCTTAATGAAACGCCGAGACACCGTCTAGCATGTGGGATTAATGATGTAACTATGCAAAAAATACCTGCTAGCTGAAGCCCAATTGGACTTTAAACTAGTGCTACAACTAGCTTTATCATTATAAGTACAGGACATT